GAAGGAAAGGGGAGGGGGAGGGGAGGGGAGAGGAGATCTTTTCCAATTTGATGTAGTGACATTATTTGACCTATTGATAACATTGGACTGGGTCTGGTCACTGACCTGCAGATTTTTCATTCATAAGAGAAGAACTGGTTAGGTTTTTCCCTGTGTACTTTTTACAGTTCAGTAAGTCAACATTACGAAAAGTGGAAATGTTACCTTTAATCCCACCCTTCTCACAGACACTGTCATATTTGCCATGTGGAAGCCCTTGTTGTCTTTTTTCACAGTGGATGTTTTTACAGTTATATTGTGTATACCACTGTGGATCTGTATAGTTCACTTACTGTTAAAACGTAACCACTTAAGTACATTTCTCCATAATTATCTTCCTAAAATTCAGTCAAATTGGATATGCCATAATTTAACCTTTTCCCTCTTGTTGGACATTCAGCCACTTTCATAAACATTTTTTTAACAAATAAAATATTGCTATGATAAACATTGGTGTGTATTTAATGTTCTCCATATTTGGGATTGTTTCCTAAGGATAGATTCCCAGAAGAGACATCACTGGGTTCAAGAGTTGAACCATTTTATGACTCTTGATTCATAATACAGGATCTTTGGACTAAGTGATCTGTAAAGTCCCTTTGGGCTCCCACATCCTGTAATTCAGCAGCTCTGAGCTTGCAGTTTTGAATTTGCTCTTCATATGTTAAATGTGATGCTTGTTGGCTCTTTTGTTTAGAAGATATCTGGTGTCACATGGTTTGTGAGTCACTCCAAGAGTGGGCTTGGTTTTCTGAACTCAAGTACCCTTCCTTGGTGCCTGCAACGTGTGGGCCTGCTTATACAGGCCTCAAATCACCTGTTTGGATTTAAAATACAGCCTTTTTGTCCCAACGTATGTTTCATTCTTCCCTTCTAACTACTGTACCAGGTGCTGTGGAAGATACAAAGAATAAACAAGAAACTGACGCTAAGTTGACATTTGTCTGTCATAACTTTAACTTACTGAAAGAGCAGGAGTAGTAACCCAAAGTCCTAAATGACTGTTAAACTTCAGCTGGCAAACTACCCCCAAAGGGCCTCAGAACCACTACTTACATACAAAGGATGATGCCATGGGGTTACCTGGAGGAGGTCTTTATACTCTGGGGCTGAGCAGAAATGAGCAGTACGTTCAGGGGCACTGTCTGAAGGGCCTTGGGGTGATAAAAAAGCAAGTTTAGGTTCCGTGTAGTACATCTCACCCTTCCCCAAACCCCAATTACTTGGGTCATGTTCCTCCTGTCGGTTTTCTCCTTGTGTGTTGCTGTGCCAACCAATTAGTCATAAACAGACTCGAGGTGAACAGAAAGCCCTTAATGAAGCATGACCTGATTCCATCCTGTCTTCTCAAATACGCTGAAAGCCCAATTGTCCTCTTGTTAATGGCTCTCTGACGGTTTTCTGGCCTCTCGCTGGGCCCCCAAGCCCCTGGAGCCATGGACCACTTCACTGGCTTAGGACTCCATACTGGCCCTGGACTGAACTGGGATGCCTGCCCTCTAGGGCTGGCTGATGACTGCGTACCTGTCTTATGATAAAGGTCATGTGACCCCTGGACTTTGGTATAACTTGTCTGTGGGGCTTGTGGGTCCTGCACAAAGCTGTGAAGCAAAACCAGGCCATGGAGCGAGGAATATGGAGACTGCATTATAGTCCCAGGGCTGCCACTTACCTATGGCTCTCCTAATGCTGCTTAATGGCTCTGAGCCTTGGAGTCCCCATCTCTCAATTAGAAGCAATAATTTGGCCTTACCTGACTGCCTCCAATGGATGTCTTGGAGGTTAGATGAGGTGACATACATGAAAGCACTTTGTATACTGCAACAAATGTTCTTAGCCTTAGATAAAAGTGTGGGAGAGAAGTTCCTGCAGGAATGTGCCAAGATGAAGCCTCCTTGTGACCTGGATGAATGGAGAGGCTGTTCAGTAGATAAAGCAGGGTGGCAATACAGGGCACCTGTGCCACTGTCCCTCCTCCTGGTACTCCATCCCAGCGAGCCCTGGGAATCTAGGCTGCCGCCACCAAGTGGTTAGCGTTAGCAGGGGGAGGAAGGTAATATGATGTGACTTACTGCCTTCAAATGGCCTGTGCACAGCAACAGTAATTTTTATATCTTCCCTCCACTGGGGTAGTGGTCCTTTGTCCCAGTTTTCTGGTTACTTGAGTGACATGCTCTCATTTCCAATAGCAATTTGATCTGGCTTTAAAAATTAAACTTCATCTTAGTTTAAAACAACCTCAGTTAAAAACAAAATGGAAATTTAGAGCACTGGACTTTAGAGGTTGCACTTGGAAACTGAATTTAGCTCTGATCTTCCTAGCGGCCCATAAACAAGGGGAAACGTGTGAATATATATTGTTACCATTGCACAAAAGAAAGGTTCCATGTTTAGGAATTTGAGGTTCAAGCTATAGCTAATCTTTTCCAGAAAAGAGGCAGTAGGACAACGGTGAGGGCCTTGAACCGGGAATTAGAAATTGAATCCTTCTTTTTTGCCCCTCCATTGTCCCATCAGAGAAATGGGGGAATCATTTTTTCTTCAGAGCTTGTTTTTCAGAGGAATAAGTCCCCACCTCCCTGGCTTTCCATTCCATTCTGTTCTAACTCCCCAGCTTGATGAGTGGTCAGGCAAGGGGCCTTTGGGAATCCACATCAAGAAGCTGTCCCGAGTCAGGAATGCAGCTTCATTCCTGGAGTGGGAATTTACAGCCTTGAATGGTGGACAGGTGTCCCCATCAGCCTACCCTGATCACTCTGCTATCTGTTCCAGGTGGACAGGTTCCTGTATCACATGCGGCTCTCCGATGAGACCCTTTTGGACATCATGGCTCGGTTCCAGGCTGAAATGCAGAAGGGCCTGGGGAAGGACACCAACCCCACAGCGTCGGTGAAGATGCTGCCCACCTTTGTCAGGGCCATTCCAGATGGCTCAGGTGAGTGGAGCTGGGGACTGCCAGGGACCCTGATCCCCCTGGTTCCCTCTTGGCTGATGGGTAACTGAAGTTTGCTTCTGTTCCCTGGCTTACCTCTCCTGCCCTCTCTCCACATCCCCCCACCCCACTGACTCTGTATGCTTCGGTCATGCTCAGTACCAAAAGTTTTGAGCCGAAGTTCAAACGAACCCTGTTTCTTCCCTGCCTGCCTTAGCCCTACTCTGTTCCCTCTCCTGTTGGAGAGTCCCAACACTCTTCCCCTTACGAACACCAGTTTGGCTTTTCCATCTCAGTGTAGAGGTTACTGCCTCCATCTGGGAAGCATCCCCATGCTGGATTCGGTTCTTATCAGAGCGCCTGTCACCCTGCTGTGTATGAGAGTCTCCCCACTGGACCAGCACTCCCTGAGGGCAGGGTCTGTGTCTTCACTACAGCGCTCTGAGCGCTGCGTAGTGCTTGATGCATACTAGGCCTGAAATATTTGTAGAATGCATAGTAAATGGCATTTCACTCCTAGGTATCTAGATTCTAGGCTATAGATAGGAAGTGGTGGAAGGTAGTATGACGTAGTGGCAAAAATATTAAATAATTATTGAAGAAACCTAGGTTCTAGGCCCAGCTCTGTCATATCTCAGTGACCTTTGGCAAAATGTTTAGGCTTAATTTTTCTATCTGTACAATGTGCTTTCTACTGCTGCTGTAATAAGTTAGCACAAACTTAGCAGCTTTAAACAACACAAATTAATTTTCTGACAACTCTGGAGGTCAGAAGTTTGCAGTGGGTCTCCCTGGGCTATAATCAAGGTGTTGGCAGAGCTACATTCCTTCTGGAGGTTCTGGGGAAGAAGCTGTTTGCTTGCCTTTTCCATCTTCTAGAGGCCACCTGCATTCCTTGACTCATGCCCCTTTCCATCTTCAAGCCCCAGTATAGCATTTTCAAATCTCTGACTCTGACCCTTCTGCCTCCCTCTTCCACATTTAAAAACTCTGTGATTACATTAGGCCCACTCAGATAATCCAGCATAATCTCCCAACCTCAAGGTCAGCCCATGAGCAATTCTGATTCTATCTGCAACCTTAATTCCCCCTTGTTACATAGCCTAACATATCCATAGGATCTGGGGATTACAATGTAAACATCTTGGTGGAGCCATTATTTTGCTTACCACAGCCTAGAGACCTCTAGAGGGAATCTGTGAGGCTCCATCAAACTCCTTCACTCTCAGCCTCTGGGTAAAGCCATAGGAGGGAAAGGAACTGGTATCTACCAGTCACCTGTTATGGTCATGCAGTGCTAGGGTCTCACTGTTTCATACAATCCCTATAAGAACCCCGTGGTGTAACTCTTATCCTCAGGTCAGATGAGCGCAGTGAGGACCACGGGGCTTCCTCAGTGTCAGGGCCCCAGTTCGGCAACCAAGCTCCAGCAGGGGCTTTGGGGCTCTTGAAGGTGCAGGGACCTTTGATCGGATTAGCGGGCTTTGGGGCCCTCTGGGCCAATGCCTGGGCCCAAGTAGCTTGGCTCTGCCATTTGAGAACTGGGAACTGTGATGGGAAGGACCCGTTCCCTTGCTGGTGGCGGTTGTGTGGTGGGCAGTGTACCACCACGGAGGAACACAGGCTGTGCAGAGAGACAGTCCTGCTTTGCAATCTCTGCTGAGTTCTGACACTGCTCTTTGAGAATGCTGCGGGGACTCTGTCCTTGTTAGATCATCTGGAGCATTCCGAGGAAGTACCTGAATGATGAGGTGTGTGAGGGAGGGAGCCCCAGGTCAGAGTCCTCCTGGCTTTTGGTGCTTTGGTTCCTCTTGTAGAGGTGTGTCCCCAGAAGCAAGGGAAAGTGGCCTTTGATGGTGTGAGGCTACTGGCCAGGTGTGCCTTCCCGGCCCTGGCTGCTTCAGGAAGGTTTGGAAGTGAAACTGACCAAGTTTTAGAAATTGCATCCTCCTCAGGCCAGGAGACACCACCTCCTTTCTTCACCGTCTCCTTAGAGCCTCTCATCACACAATAAATCTCACCAGTGATCCTGCTGCAGTGAGGTCCCAGGGCCCAGAGTCCCTGTGGAGCCAGGTGACCTTGTTAAGTCCCAGAACCATTGTACTCCTGTCCTCATTAGTAAAAGGGACGTAGCCAGTTTGTCCCACCAACTTGTAGGGTCATTAGGATCAGATGAGGTCATGTGCAGGGAATGCTCTCAACTATTCAAAATGTCCCAAGTCCTACAGAGCTCCTGGGAGCTGGTGGTATGATTTCATAATTACATCCTAATCTCTTGGGGCCTCCATTTCAGAAATGTATTCAATTTCCAGAGAAATCCTTTTGAGTTTGCCTACTCTCTAGTTTCCCCTCTTTCATCTGAACCTCCCTGAGAGGGGGTAACCTGATTGAGCCTTAGTTACCTCGCAGCCTGTCAGTCAGGGAGCAGCGGTTGACTGTTCTTACGAGTGCCTTAAAAGCATGGTTATTGTTTGTGCCTTCTCTTCTACCAGTCACAAGGGAAGGGGGACAGGAAGTGCCCATCTTGTGATTTGAAGGTGACAGTGGTTCTTCAGGCCCCACCCCAGCTGCCTCTCTTCTTGGCCTCTGTCTCCAGGCAGCCTCCTAGGCCTCCCGGAGGGTGAGCCTTGCAGGTTGAGCCCAGGAGCCCCAGTGTTGTCAGCTGATGGGCCCAGGGGTCTGCATTAGGACAGGGGTCCTGCACTTGCCTGAGCATAAGACTCACCTGGGACGATTCCTAAACATATGGCTTCTCAGGCCTCTCCCCCTGGAGATGCTGAATCTCCAGGAATATACACGTTCAGTCCTCCTGCACCTTTGGGAGATGCTGCACTAGGGAGTGGGGAAGGAGCACAAGCCCTGGCAATGGCTTAGGAGAAGGAAACCCCTGGTGTCCACGGCTGCCTGGAGCCACTGAAAGATCACTGGAGGATCATCTACAGCTGGTGGATTCTCAAGGAAACTTCACCTTCTTGAAAGATCATTTCTTTTTTTTAAATTAGTATTCTTTTTACTTTTTAAAATTGTGACATAATTGACATATAACATTAGTTTCAGGTGTACAACATACTGATCAATATTTGTATATATTACAAAAAGATCTCAACAGAAAGTCGAGTTACATCCATCAGCACACACGGTTACAAATTTTTTTTTCCTGTGATGAGAACTTTTAAGATCTCTCTTAGCAACTTTCCAATATGCAATACAGTATTATTAACTATGGTCACCAAGCTGTACATTACAGCCCCATGATGAGAGGTCATAATGATCTTAATAATCACCATAAAGATCCTGATGGCCCCCCTGCCGCTGTTGCCCTCTTCTTCTAGGCAGGTCCTCCTTTCCCTGGGGTCCAATGAGTCCTTTCTCTGTGTCAGAGTTACAGAAGGGATCACACCATGTGGTTTTTATTAAAATCCTCCAGTCTGGGCTTCCCTGGTGGCGCAGTGGTTGAGAATCTGCCTGCTAGTGCAGGGGACACGGGTTCGAGCCCTGGTCTGGGAGGATCCCACATGCCGCGGAGCAGCTAGGCCCGTGAGCCACAACTACTGAGCCTGCGTGTCTGGAGCCTGTGCTCCGCAACAAGAGAGGCCGCGATAGTGAGAGGCCCGCGCACCGCAATGCAGAGTGGCCCCCGCTCGCCGCAACTAGAGAAAGCCCTCGCACAGAAACGAAGACCCAACACAGCAAAAATAAAATAAATAAATTAATAAACTCCTACCCCCAACATCTTCAAAAAAAATAATAATAATAATTTATTTATTTATTTTTTAAATCCTCCAATCTATCCTGGTTGGTGTCAGAGGCGTTTTCCCAAAATCTCAATCAGGTCTTGGTTAAAATCTTTCTTAAAATCTTTCTGTGGCTCCCCCTCACCTGGATAAATCCCAGATTTCTTGGAGGTGGGGTGGGTTTTCCAAATCCTTCCTAATTTAACCCGAGACTGCCCGCCAGTCTCATTTCTGTCACACGTCCCTCCTGCTCAGAAGCGCAGACCTTTCCCACCCCAGGCAATCTCATTCCTTTGCTCCTGGCCTCCTCTCCCTGGACCCCTGCTCTCCTCTGTCTGGCTGGCTGACTCGCTCTCTTCATCACTCAGCTCTGTATCACTTCCTCTGGGGTGGTGACTCCTGCTCTGATTTAGTAGACACTGCTCCCCGTGCTTCCCACAATCAGAGCACGTGCTCTACTGTGTGGAAATGGTTTATTTACTTGCCTGTATTTCTGATGGGCTTCCCAGGGGGCCCACAGTCTTTCGTCTTTGCATCCCTAGCACCTGGCATGTCACTTGTCACAAAGTCAGTGCTCAGTAAATGTTCATACGTACATGGATCATGTGATCTACCCTCTTTCCTGTGCAACACCTGTGATAACACCTGTGAAAGCTACTCTTGCTTGGTACATGATGAATGCTAATAAAGTTGCACAGGATTAGGTCCTTGGAGTCCCTCCCTGAATAAATGGCTCCATCAGGTTCCTTTCAGGGCTGATCTAGGGAGATAAAGAGTCTTGCTTTCCAGAAATCTCCACAAAAGCAAAATATCCAGCTGGCTGGGTCTATAAATGAGGACTATAAACCTTGTTCCACGGACCTGCAGCAGCAGCTTGTTTAGAAATGTAAAATCTGGGGCTTCCCTGGTGCCGATGCAGGGGACACGGGTTCGTGCCCCGGTCCGGGAAGATCCCACATGCCGCGGAGCGGCTGGGCCCGTGAGCTATGGCCGCTGAGCCTGCGCATCCGGAGCCTGTGCTCCGCAACGGGAGAGGCCACAGCAGTGAGAGGCCCGC